ATAAAATACATACGAATCACAAAAAATATTCAGTGTGGTTTGATACTGATACAGCAAATTTAATAAAAGAAAAAAATCATTATAGGAGAATGCGGAAGGTCTCTGAATATTTTAATACATTCAAGCGCGAAGAAATCTAAAATTATTAATTCGAAATAATTACAAAAACTATATAAAAACAATTGAAGGAAAAACCATTGAAAATGTTAATAACTTTTGGAATCATGTAAATTGTAAAAAAATGAAGGACATTGTTCCTATTAATTTGAATTTGAAGGTCAAAAAGTTGGAGCGTCTGATACCGATTAAAAATTTGCAAATTTCTTTGCTTCTATCCATTCAGCCAAAAATCAAACTATAGCTTAGACTTTTTAAATTATTCTTGCAATAACTTTGATGGTTGCGATTTAAATTCAATTACTCTTTTAGAATACAATGAAGCTATGAAAAGATTGAAACGCAAAAAAATCAGCAGGTAACGATAATATTCCTCCATACGTTTTAATAGGCTACACGGATTTTCTAGTAAAACCTTTATTATTTATTTTGAATTTAATTCTCAAATTTTTGATATATCCAACAAAATGGAAACTATCAAGTTACATACCTATTCATAAATCTGGAGATAAACAAAATAATAAAAATTATAGGGGAATTGCAATATTATGTGCTCCGTCTAAAGTATTTGAACACATTCTCTACAGTAAAATATACAACCACATGAAAAATATTTTAGCAGAGGAGCAACATGGTTTTGTAAATGGAAGATCAATAAATACAAACTTATTTATTTTTACAGAACATGCGACCAGACCACTAAATGAAAAACTACCATTATAAATCATGATATATTATTAAATAAGTTAAACAATTTAGGTGTAACAAAAAACTTACTAAAATTACTTAGCAGTTATTTACAGGATAGACACTTTTCAGTAAACTACAATGGAAAAATGTCTAACCACTATCACTCAAACTCGGGTGTGCCGCAGAGCTCTAACCTTGGTGCATTACTTTTTTTAATATTTATCAATGATCTTCCTTCCTGTCTAAATAATTCAGAGTGTCTACTTTATGCTGATGACTTAAAAATAAATAAGAAAATACACACAGTCAGAGACTGTGTTGCACTTCACAGAGAGATATTAATAATGTTTATTCTGGAGTACCCATAATAAATTGTATTTGAACATAAATAAATGTTTTGTCATGACAATCTGTCGCAAGAAAGAGCTGATTATTTTTGACTATACAATGGACACAAATCTATTAAACAGGGTCTCCGAAATGGCGTTACCTATAATAATCAATTATCGTTTAGGTTTCGTATAGAAAAAAACTTCTAAAAGTGCAAATAGAATGCTTGACTTCATTTTAAGGCTAACATCCTCATTCTCGAACTTATCTTCAATTAAAACTCTTTACAATACTTTTGTATTATCAAAATTAGATTTTGCTTCTATAATTTGGGTACAAGAAGCACAAATATATCTTTAAAATCTCGAAAAAATTCAAAATAAGTTTCTTCGGTATCTATACTACAAAAAATAACACGGTTGGCCCGATTATAATCATGTAAGAACACAAATGCTAAGAACAGAATTCCAAATAACGTCCCTTGTCGTAAGACATAAGCAAGCTATGATGAAGTTTCTGTTTGGTTTAATGAATAATCAAAATCACTGATCTGTATTATTTTACTGGATAGGATATAGGCTATATTTAACATACTAAAAAATCGTTCCACCAAGGAGACCGGAAGTGCAACAATGCTGGCCGATTTGGGCAAATTATGGTGGGTTCACAGAACTGAAATTTGGGATAATTTGACATACCTAACCTATAATTTGATTAGTTTTCTTCTTATTCTTCTTCTATTCCTTTTGCGGGCGATGTTATTCGGGAAATTTCACCCATGATTTGATTTTTTATGAAAGAAAATATAAAAATGGAAACGTGAAGCATATTGTGTCTTCAGGAACGAACGTTTATTGTTTATTTCATACTCTTTTTACTTTGTTTTCCACAATAAAAACATCTCATCGTAGCTTGTTGACACAATTAAATGACAAATGTGATGACAAATGGAAATAGAGGTTACGTTAAATAACATCCGGTCCGCCATATTATTTGCCCAAATCGGCCAATTTTTCAGAACGTTTTTTAGGGGACTATATCCTATCCAGTAAAATAATACAGATCAGTGATCAAAATAGATCAAATAATCTATTAGTCTTCATACCTTTCAATGTTCCTCCAAAACGCACTCGCTCCATTCTTTTGTTTAACCTAAAAATATGGACGAGTCGCTCTCCACTTTACTATGTCCTCTACTTAGCTAATAATGTCAATCTTATGCATAATATAGATTAGAATATAATCATTTTATCAGTATTGGAAAGTAATATTAAATTATTTTTAAAATTATGGGATTTAAATTATCATTATTATTAACAATCATCATTGCATTGATCATTATTTATCAGAATTTTAAAGTTCTTGATATAAGAAGTTATTGTCCATTTTTAACACAAATTTTTGAATTTGAAGGTAGTACTACGGTCTTAAAATTGGTAGCTTTGGAATGTTTATTATGACATAGAAATAGTTTTGCTCCCCAACAAAAACGTATTTAAAACAAAAAATATCGAACGAAAGGCAGAGATGTTCAACTAAATGAAGAATTAGTTTACTAATTTAAAAGCTTTTATTGCTCTACAGCTCAATTGCAGACATTTTTTTATTAAACAAAAAAAGTTTGTTTTGATGTCCCCTATCGCACTCTTTAAAGTTTGTCGGTATATTTTTGGGACACCTTATATATAAAGAAAATAACAAACCACTACATTCATAATTTAAAAACCCTAAAATTTGGCCAATTACTTAAATCAGACCCACTTTATAAAGGAGAAATGTTATATTTAATAATGACATGTGCTAATAATGGAATTCCATTATTTTGGCGCTATATCGGTTACACATTTCCAGCGGCAAACCACCAATCAACTAGCATTTTGAACACGAACATCACGAACTTTCCAGCAAATGGCGTCTGTCTATTTACATTGTTGGTGTTTTCACCATTTGAAAAACTTATTTTAATACTGGATTTTTTCTCGTATGGCTTACGAGTTGGTAGTTGCGATGCTATTGTTGTCAATGCCATAACGAAGAAGATGAAACGAAATTATGTGGAAATATTAAAATCTGGCATATGAAAGTTAGTATAGGAGAACTGAGCAACAATGCAAAAATTATAGCTTCTACAATTAGACATTCCAACGACCTGTCCAAATGGCTACCAGTGGGTACTGACAGTTTAGATATGGCAACCCTGTTGTCATGTTATCATTAACAGGGTCAATGATACATATATGTTATATACATTGCTCAAAGCTGGTCGTTTGCGAGCAGCCATATTGCCTGGAAAATATTTATTAATTTGAATCAGTTTAGCAAAAATGTGTTTTAAAACCAATTTTCAGACTTTACATATTTAAAAAATAATAATTGCTTATATTTTTACTTCAAGGCATAAGCTTGTTTATTTTAAAAAATAGGGATGATCAATCTATGTAACTATCTATTTCACTCACCTTGTCAAATCACCAGGCCTACAGAGTTGCCATAACTTTGCCACATCATAACCTGTCAAAACCCACTGGTAGCCATTCAGTTTGGAATGCCTAATTGAAAGATATAAAAATAAATATTTGACAGTAGACACAAAAAGATAATGTGGATGTATTCTAAGTATTAAACGATACTTTTATTCCCTATGCTAATTCAGAAAAATATCTGAGTACGACCTTAAATGTGCTAGCTCCATTCGAAATTCCATGTCGAAAAGACACATGAGCTTAGTCCTAAAGGTCAGAATTCCAAGTTTACATACTATAAATTGCCTTTCTATAAGCAGATATTGAAAAATGAATGAACATGGAATGCCACTGTTCCGTTGCACCAGTAATAGCAATATCCACATTAATTAACAATTATAGAATAAAGCACTAAGAAACATTGATGCTTCCTGGTAACAACATTAATTAGAACCTACAAATAGACAGTGTTGTCCAGATCATTATTTAATGTTCTAGTCTACGAACAAAGGTTGCTCTATCATGTAAACATTGTTCAACATCTAGACATCACGCATTTACTAAGAATACTCGAGACATTCTTACAACAGCTAAGCCGTGAGCCTCCGAACACGTTGTGGATGAGTGATGGCTGCGACTTTTCACTATGGGCCAAGCCACCATGATACTAGCCGAGTAGCGTTTAACCATCTAAGGACGTGGAAAGAATAGCAATGAATATAAAAAAATTGGAAAGCAGTAGAACCTGCAACTGGTGGTACAATAAACAGCAGGATTTAGTGCCGGCATGCTACAAATGGATTAGGGTGAAGCATGGGGTCCGAAGAATGGAACACAAAAGAATTAAGCCAATAAAGTTGGTTAATTGATTGTATCAGATAAAGCAGAACTAAGTGAGGTATTAGAACTACATGTTAATTATTTAGTGGCTATATTATCAGACTAGTAAGTAGGATTTTAGTTTTAAGACGTTAATCGCATAAAATAGGTTCATTGATTTAAATACTAAGATCTTATAAATGGTTTTTATTAACAAAATATACAGTAAAAAGTTTAATTTTGAATTTTTAACAAAAACATGCTTTAAAAAATGCAATCAGAATTTATAAAGGCATTCCAATACGGCTGACACTGTATTGTTTATATTTGGATGTGAGTATTTACAAGCCAAATATAATTCTAATACTTTCAGTTGGTATAAATATTTTACTAGTTCATACTGGAAACCACGTAACAAAAGCAACTCCTATCTTTACTTCTTCTAGTTTAAAACTGTCTCTTTGTGCTTGATTTCCAGTAAGATGAAAATTTAATCCAATAAAACTTTCGACATATTCAAAACAGACTTTATCATAAAGTTTTGAACAGATTTAAGTTTTATGGATTTCTGGGATGTTTTAGTATCCTTGGTATGAATATATTTGGTTGCAAGTTTTGTAACGATGACTCGTATACCGAAGAAAAAGTATGTATTACAAATAAAGATGAGGACAAAGATAGAAAAAATTTCGATTCTCTTTTATGGTCACTTGTTACTGTATTTCAGGTACCTACATTTCTAATTATTTTCTTATTATTTAACGTTTCTTCTGCGCTTTCGATTTAGTAAATACAAAAATTGTTATATTGGGTGCGCAAAAAGCAACATTGTTCTTTTTTAATTGTTTATTTAGGAAAAAAAGGCAAGACCATAGCCCTGTGACCTTAAAAATTACCTTCGCCATTCTGCGGTGGCTCAATAATTTTTCAACTGCCAAGGGTTTTTTTTACATTTACAAAATAGTTTGTTTCTTCTAGAAGCATAAAGAAAAATGGCGCTATATAATCGTTTGACAATTGGAAGAATAATATTTTTTCCTATTATTCCGATTTATCGGACGAATACAATATTTTCTCTTATTACTATGATAATTATTACTTATGGTAACTTATATAGAAAAACTACTTACAAAACAATTTGGGAAGCTATTGTATTATTAATATATACATTCACTCAGATTTACACGAAAGGCTAAACCAAAATTCGTTTCGTCTTAGAGCCCGTAATGGAAGACTGAATATTACGACTATCAAACAAATAGTAATCCTTTTATTTTCCTAATATTACTAACCTAGAAAACAGTTTGTTTGAGAAATTTCTTGAAAGTTTCACCTTGCGGGAATAGTTGTGACTCTTTTCTTGCAAAAGAAAGATGCAAATTCCATTGCCCACATGTGCCCAAATATTTAAGAATTATAATCCGTCATGGCCTCAAATAAAGACAATATTAATTGATTTATATTTTGTAAAAGAAAACTTTACCAAGTGAATTTCCAAGTGTCTTGTTATGTTTGTTCCATATAATAAAGGATCTTTTGCACACTAACGAAACGACTTAATGAGCAGAAAATGGCTCACTTAAAAACCGAGGAGGATTATAGAAAAGGCTATAATTTCTCATTGCAGCTAAACATGCATTCAGTTTCAAAATATTTTAATGGTAATTGGTGCAACTGCAAAGATCAATGGGTGGAATGTTTATAATTAAAAATGTTATACTTACGGAGTTGCAACTACAAATCACATCGAGTCATTTAACTAAAAAATTAAGTCAGTCTGTACATGGCACATTTATAAAGAGTTTCTCTTTAAGTCCGTAAATTTTGAAAGGAGGCAAGCATATAATGTCTAGGAAATTCTATAAATTAACTTAAGAAAGAAGTATTTAAATTTATAGAAAACAGTCTAAAGAAGTCAGACAAAGATACATTCAATGAAGAACGAGAATACTCTAAAAGTGTCACAAAATAACTGTCACTGCATTTTTTATGAAGATGCAGTTACCATGAAAGTTTTCATCAAAGGGCAACTTTATAAATCAAGAGTATTGAAAAAAGTAAGTGCTGAATCTATGAGGAGAAGGATGAAATTTCCACTCACTGATTATGTAGCACTTCATAATCTAAGAGAACTATACTTAGAAGCATACCAAATAGAAGAGGGCGATCTACCTAACTTGAAGCCACTCCAAATTCTAAACTTCCTTGAGAAGATAGGATTGGAAGGGTCTCTATAAGCATCGAGACTATTTCCTTTAAGCGACAAAATGATGCGCAATAGATCTTTTAGGTCGCAGTATATTAGTACGTAATACCTAACATATTTTGAAAGCATTTGTATAAATTCGGACAACTAAAAAAACTTCCTTTGTATACTGAAAAATTGATTGCCAACACATTAAAAAAAAAGTGATATTAAATCAATGATCTCAACTGTAATTATAGATCCAGTAATGATAATATTGTAACGATGGTTTAATTTAAAAATAGTTTATTTTTTAAAAACAGTTTATTTTTAATTTATTTATAAGGTACTAATTAATTTATTTTATATTTAGGCACTATTATAACTCACAATTCTAATTTATTTATTACAATTTATCCTCCAATTCAGCTGGTTGTTCTCTATCTTTGGCAAGGCTAGTCTCTGTAGATTGGACTCCAGTACATGTTCCCTCAGGGTAAGTAACACATCCCATTCATCATGAATCGATCTCGGAAGGTGTCCTTTGTTACCAGATAGAAAAGGTAACGCGATCCATCTTGAAGTTTCAGTACTTTTTCCAGGGGCTGGTATCTGACAATCGACCAAACTTCTTCGAGAACACAGATGCCAGACCTCGAGCGTCGTTGATGCTGGCGGAAGTGCTATGAACCAGCGTGTACTCTTTAGGAATCGCGAGAAAGTCTTGTTGTTGCTCGGTTGTAACACTATGTCTTGCTTTTCCGATAGCGCCATATGCATTCATAAATTCTTCAAAGACAAGGTGAGGTGTTTCTTGGAGCTGGTTCTTCCTCGTCATGATCAACTTCAAATAGTGCCAGCTGTTTTTATTACACTATCTTCGGTTTATCATTTGGAATCTTACTTATACGGTAAATGACATCATTAATTTTTTATTTAAGACCTTTGAAGCTTCGAAAAATAACCCTTTTGTCTTTTTGGGTTATGTAGCCAGACTTTGTCGCCTTCCTTGAAATATCCTTCTGTGGCTTGGATATCATAGCGCTTTTTCATTCTGTCGCTTGAGATTTGAACTAATTCATGCGTGTCGTCCATTTCTCTTCGTAATTGGATCACATAATCTTTATCTGCTATATCTTCTTTAGGTCGGCATCCAAATTCAAGGTCGCACGGTAGTCTCATCTCACGCACGAACAGCACTTTCTGGTAGTTGGCCTGTAGAGTCATTGAAAGCAAATCTTATTGCCATTTTAAAAGGCGAAAATACTGATCTCAATCTCTCTGATGATTGGAAATCACTGTTGATAGATATTTACCAAGTGTCTTAGTTATTCCATCTGACTTTGGGTGGAATGCCGTAGTTCTGATATTTCTTCATGCCCAATCTATCACAAATTCCTCGGAAAATCTGGCTTTTAAAATGTATGCCTTCCTCACTGTGCCTCTTAAGGCACTTTAAATCTGCTGATGAATTATTTTATTAACACGTCTGCAACAGTTGTGGCCTCTTGATTTGGAATAGAGTAGACTTCCATCCACTTCGCGAAATAATCCATAACCACCATCATGTATTTATTACCATTCTCGGTAATGGGAAATGGTTCAGCAATATCTAAGGCAATCCTTTCAAATGGGTTACCGACGTACTGCTTCATGGAGGCCTTTCTTTGTCGTTGGGATCCGTTACTCAATAGTACAGGTGGTGTTTTTCTTACACCAGTTCTCTACATCATTGAAACTGTTCATCCATTAAAACCTTTCACGAACTCTCTGAAGGGTTTTCTTAACACTGACTGTCGTGTAACTGACGAAGTACTTTGGCTACTCTAGTCTTTGGAATCATCAACTGATGTCGTAACCATCATCATTCTTTAGTACTCACTTTAATAAATCTTATTCCAGGTTAAAAGAGCCCTACTGAGCCCAATATGACTTAACTACTGAATAAAGTTTCGATACTTCTTGCCAAGTAGGTCGACGATTTTCCTCTTTCCATTGTTGCATCTTCTTTAAAACAGGGTGGTTCTCTTGTTATTTCCTAAGATTGACAGGGGCCCACTCATCATTGACAACTATTGTTCATCGTACTGTAACTTTTTTAGGAGATGAGGCCAACTTCTTCATTACACTTCGAAGGTTCCATCCTTGACAGGCGTCTATAGTTACTTACAATTGCGTTTCTCTTATGGTTTCACATCTTTTAGGCACTACCGTTCCTTCCTGTACAGCCATAGGCACGATTTTTCGATTTGCGTTTGCGCGAACAGCTTACAATTCCCATTTCACCACATCTAATAGTATTCGGCTGCTTCTGAATAAGGCTTTGTAGTACTCTTGAAAAGAGGAAAAATAAGCTGTTATCTGAAATATCAATCGACCTAAATTGCCATTTAAAGAAAAAATCAAATGGTGGCAGTACGTTATACTCTGACGTCACATACATTTAACATGTCTTTAAAATACAGGATATAATCCCATCTATCACCCTATAATTTCATAAATATACATTGATTTGTTTGTTTCAAAGAAAATACCTTTTCGCTACCGTGTATGTGTTACATCAGTAGCAATTTTGTTAATTGTGACACTAATATGAATCTAAATGATGAAAAATTAATGACATGAAATGAATACCAAACAGTAACCCATTATATTATCAAAAACAATATTATTAAATGTGAATCCTTATAAAAACCCCTATAGGTACTTATTAGAATCCTTTCTGCCCAGTGACGATCTTCCGATAAATCAAGAATCTGATTGCCAAAAAAAAGTAGTTAGTAAATAAAGTAAATATATTTGAGAAAAATGATAATTCATTGTATTTTATCGAACTCAAAGACATACAAATGTTACATAAAATAAAAATAGAAAACAACCCAAAGGAAGTGATGTTACACTAGTAGGTTTAAGAAAGAAGAAAAAAATGTGTTTTACATCAATCTCCATCGCAAATAAAAGAAAACATATTGTTTGCTATATTTAAAGACAATCAACTTGTTACAGAAATATTATTGGGGAAAATAACATATTAAAATTACTTACCATCGATCGTTTTATTTTAGAAAAAGAGGTTTGCTTGGAAGAAGCTGAAGAATACTTAACTTTCCACGTTGAAGAAAAAAGACAAATACCAAAATGTTTTGTAATATTTATGTTCTAAGACCATATCAATATTGATTTTGCCTTTCATGTAAATTTAAGTGAATTCATATATCAGCAATAAAATATCTTACCGAACAAACTGTTTTGTAGGTTTTTTTTCTGTATAAGCTACCATAAGTAATACTTTAACGGAAGAATTAGAAAGTTTACTATTTGTCCGACAGTCCGATTATTTAGAAAATAATTAAAGATGTTTTTCATCTTAGATAAATAGACAGACACTCAAGATCGCCATATTTTAATCCAATCGAATTTTTTGTCTGTTAACCTCAAAATGAAACCCAGGATAATGTCATGATAATAGTAAAATCACATTTGAATGTAAGAATACATTTTCAAGAAAGGTTAAGTCAGCGTTTAGCAATTAATGGAGAAAC